TGTGCACTCCAGTCTGGGTGACAGAGACTCCATCTCAAAAAAAAAAAGAAAAAGAAAAGGAGAAGAGCTGGGCCACGGTGGCTCACGCCTGTACTTTGGAAGGCAGATTCGAGAGCCTGAGCCCAGAAATTAGAGACCAACCTGGGCAACTTGGTGAGACCTTGTCTCTACAATAAATAAATTAAAAAATTAGCCAGGCATGGTGGCATGTGCCTGAAGTCTCAGCTACTCACAAGGCTGAGGTGGTAGGATTGTCTGAACCCAGCAGGCTGAGACTGTAGTAGCAGTGACTGTGCCACTGCACTCCAGCCAGGGTAACAGACTAAGACTCCCACTCAGGAAGAAAAAAAAAAAGAAGAGACATACAAGAAGGCCATGTGATGCTGGAGGCAGAGACTGGAGCGATGCGTCTACAAGGCTCACTGGCAACAGTAGAAGCCAAGACAGAGCAGCACCTAGTTTGTGGTGACTTGCTATAACAGCCACAGGAAGCTGCTGCAGTTGCAAGTGGCCAGGTGAGGTATGGACGACAGTGCTGGCAGGGGAATGCATCGGGATACGTTTCGGGTTGACAACTGAAAGCTGAGAGTAGGTGGGGCCTAGGCACTCCTCAATATGTTCCCAAACCCAAACAGCGGGGGTAAAATAACTGTTCGCACACTCGGGTTTTTATGATATTGGGAATTTACCTCAGCAAGAGCTGATAACAGGTGTTGTTTGTTTTCTTCATGAAAAGGCTACAGTAGAACAAGTTTGGCCTCTCTCTCTCTTTCTCTCTCTCTCTCTCTCTCTCTCACACACACACACACACACACACACACACACACACACACAAAAGAAAAACAACGGCTGGAAGGTACTGAAGTCAGACACCTTGCTTCTGAGCACTCACTTGTTCCAGGTATACATCCACACTGCCTCCTGAGGTTGGGCTGACATAGGCGACCGCCAGGAATGGATGGACAGGGTGCCAGCTGATGTGTGATGGTGACCCAGCTGTATCCGGGGCTTCTATTTGGTGGTCAAAATACAGGGCCATGACCAAACTCAGACCCGGTAAAGGCTGAAACCTGCAGGGGAAAAAAATAACCAAGTCCAGTAGGTTTAAAAAAACAAAAAACTGCATATAGAATTACAAAACAGAAGCATCACAACCCTACATCCCCTGGAAGCGTTGCAAGAGCCACACCTGTCCGTGGCCAGACCCACACCAGTGCAAGCCCTGTTGGCCCAGTTCCTGTGGAGTAGATTCTAGCATGTATTATAGAGGGAGTATATATATTTTTTGAGTCGGAGTCACACTCTGTCACCCAGGATGGAATACAAAGGTACCATCACAACTCACTGCAGCCTCTACCTCCTGCCTCCTGGGCTCAGGCCTTCTGAGAAGCTGGGACTACAGGTGCACACCACCATGCCTGGATAACTGGATAATTTTTTTTTTTAAGAGACAAAAGTTTTGCTATGTTACCTAGGCTGGGCTCAAACGATCCTCCCACCTCAGTCTCTCTGAGACTGGCCTAAGCAACATAGTGAGACCTCATTTCTGCAATAAATAAATAAATAAATAAATAAATATTAGCCAGGCGTGATGATGACATGTGCCTGTAGTCCCACCTACCTGGGAGACTGAGGTGAGAGGATGGCTTGAGCCTAGAAGTTCGAAGTTGCTGCAGTGAGCTATGATCATACCATTGCATTCAAGTTTGGGTGACAGAGCAAAATCCAGTCTAAAAAAGAAGAGGAAAAGGAGGAGGAGGAGGAGAAAAAACCTTAGTAATGCAGAGAACTTAAACTTGATTAGTTACATGGACTTAATCAAGCAATCTCTCTCCCCCTCCCTTCTTCTTCTTCTCAGAACTGGTAGAGATAAACATATTGGGCCTTTTCAAGAGGAGTTGGGTGGTAAATGAAGTGGCAGTCTGACTGCTGCCCATATTTTCATACCCAGAGTCAGTTTAGGGATGTTTACTGGCAGGAGAGTATTTGCAAGTTGGTTTGCCATCATTACAAATTATTCAATTTCACAGTGATTATGAGTAAAGAAGAAATACTTAGTATGGGCAAAGATATGGAGAAACTGGAACCCTTGTGCATTGCTGGTGAGAATGTAAAATGGTCTAGCCACTGTGGAAAAGTCTGGCAGTTTCAAAAAATTAAACAGAATTATCATTTGATCCAACAATTCCTCTCTGGCTATATACTCAGCTGAAAGCAGGAACTGGAACAGGTATTTATATACCCATGTTCACAGCAGCATTATTCACAATAGCTAAAAAGCAGAAACAATTCCAATTTCTGTTGCTGGATGAACAAATAAAATGTGGTCTATTCACATAATGGAATATTTCTCAGTTTTATAAAGGAAAGACATTCTGACACATGAACAAGACGGATGAACCTTGATATGTTGAGTGAAATAACTCAGACACACATATTATATGGTTTACTCATGTGAGGTACTCATAGTAGTCGTATTCACAGAGACAGAAAGTAGAAGAGTAGCAGTCAGGGGCTGAGGAGAGGGGTACTGGGGACCAAGTTTCTGTTTGGGACAATGAGAAGGTTCTGGAGACAAGTACAGCGATGGCTGCACATCGTGATGTAGTCAATGCCATGAACTGTCCACTTATAAACGGTTAGATGGTAAACTTTACATTATGCATATTTAGTTACAATAAAAGACTTTTCAAAAATACTAAAGACTCCCAAAGTCCTATGAAGAGAGTAGAGCATAAAGGGACCATGCCGTCCACTTTTAGCAACACAGCAGTTACAGGAGAGGAAGCTGGGAGGACTCAGTTTGGATCTGGAGAAGGACGCTCTTCCGTGGGAAGCCGGAAGACACACAGGCACAAATGAACCGTCACATGTTGAAGGCTTTTACCTTTATTCTATGAACACATGCCCTGAATACGAAACAAAATCACAATGTTTGAGGCTGTGTTCTCCCACCACAGATTAATGAGCACCAGTTCAAGGCCCTGGGAGTGCAGCCAGCCTGTCTCCAGGCTCTCCTCTGACTGGAGGAACAGGAGACAGGCGAGAGTCAGAGGGGCAAGTCCCAGTCTCCTGCACACATGCCACACAGGGGGCAATCTATGCTGGTCAGGGCCCTGCATACTTTCAATAAAGTCCTTAAGTGAACCTTCAGACAAAGTCATTAAAAGCAAAAACACACCACATCAAAACCTAGGTGATTTAAAAATCCTTTTAAATTTAGTTTTTTAGAGGTGGAGTCCCCAGGCTGGACTGCAGTGGTATAATCATAGTTCACTGCAGCCTTGATTTCCTGGGCTCAAGTGAGCCTCCCTCCTCAGCCTCCCAAATAGCTGCGACTACAGGCATGTACCACCACACTTGGCTAATTTTTAAAATTTCTTTGTAGCAACGGGAGTCTCACTGTGTTGCCCAGGCTGGTCTTGAACTCCTGGCCTTCTGAGTAGCCAGGATTACTTTTTTTTTTTTCCCAGTTGGAGTCTCACTCTGTCATGTCACCCAGGCTGGAGTGCAGTGGTACGCTCATGGCCACCTCAGCCTTGACCTCCTGGGCTCAGGCAATTTTTCTGCCTCAGTCATCCAAGTAGCTGGAACTACAGACGCATGCTACCACACCCAGCTTGTTTTTTGATTTATTGTAGAGACGAGATCTCACCAAGTTGCCCAGGCTATTCACTCGCCTCGGCCTCCCAACGTGCTGGGATTACAGGCTTGAGCCACTGTGTCCAGCTGGGATTATCTTTTAAAATGAGTTTTAATGTGTTGCAGTCAGTCAAGGTTCTAAATTCTTGGCTATAGGGATTTTAACAAATTTACTTTGTGAAAATACTACTCTGATGAAGAAAAAAACTATAATAGCACTTGAATAAAATTAAACCTGATTTCCTCTGTATTTATTTCAAACATCACTGTGTAATGACCATGAATGTTAGTGGTCCTTTATTTTCTTTCCTACCCAGGCCTTTTCCAGAGTCCCTTTCCCCCCATGCCCCTCCTTTGAGTACTCAGAGAATCCCTTCTCCTCCAGGGGGCTCTAGGGACTTGACTTCCCCACATTGGGAAGTCTTGTACTTCTCTGCCCAGTATCCCCACACAATCTTGCACTTCACCACAACTGCACTTAGATTTTACTGCAAATGTGTTTAATCAACGACTCCTTTCCTCCCCCATCTTATCTGCTCTACAGGTTGGGGCGGGGAGCACAGGAGTATTCCCAGACCCTAGAACAATGCCTGGCACAAAGGGGGCAAGTAAATCCTGGAGGAAAAAGTTTATTAGCAGGGGGAGGCATTCTTGCGGTTTTGTTAGTAGTAAGAAGTCTGTTCCAGGTCAGTTAGAAAGAATCCATTTTTATACAATGTACAATTGTTCAGTATTACTTTCACCTACATCTTAACTTGTTTCTACAGTGAACAAGTGTTAGCTATGTAATTAGAAAAGTTACCAACGTAAACACAAGAGGAGCCGGCTAACAATCATATCGTTACATACTTGGTGACCATCGGTTATAGCATCAGTTCGGAAACAAAATACGCTTCTTTTCCTTACAACAACCCCCCCGGAAAACAGTTGCATTTATTCTGAGGGATTTACCCGCGAGCCCGCCCCTGTAAATGTCTCCCTGAAGCCCGCAGCTGGGAAAGAATCCGCACGCTCATCCAGCTAAGGTGTGTGCCATGACAGGGCCTCGAGCGGTGTCACTCTTCGGGAGCCTCGCGTAAGGAACCCGAGGAATGGGGCTCCGTGGTGGACACTCGCGCAGGCCCCAGCGGCCACCCTGTCAAACTTCCCGCTAGGCCACGGGTCCCGAGCCTCCAGCCAGCGCAGGTCTTCGGCCGTACTCAGTGCGCGTTACAGAAAAGCCACGTGCTGGCGCCGGGCATGACGCAACCTGGGCCGAAGGTAAGTTCTAGAGCCACCCTGCGTTTGACGGAGCCCAGGAAGTTTTTGTTTTGCTCTTCTCTCCCCGCTCGGCTTTACTGGGGGGGTCTGGCGGCGCGCCCCACCTCCCCACCTCGTCCCTTCCTAGGGACCGGCACAGCAACGGGGAACCCACCGCGGACCTGGGGTGCGCCCGAGGTGGCAGCCGTAGTCCCACGGGCCACCTGGTCCCGAGGCCAAGCACGCTCCGGCTATGACAAGACCCGCGAGTGGTCACGGGGCCTGGGCGGCGGCCGGGTCGTGGGAGGGCGCAAGAGGGGCTCGGCAGGCCTGGCCCCACCGGACCCCCGTCCGGGACCCCCGCCCCAGAGGAGCCCCGGCCTTCTACGCAGGGGAGCGCACTCACCTGGGCCCGGCCTCTGCGCCGCCTCGCGTTGCCGGGACAACGCCGCTCCCGGAACGCGGAAACAGCCGAAGGTGAGCGACGCCGAGGCCGCCCGAAGCGTCCCGAGCGAGCGGCCGGAAAGAGCCGAAGGCGATCGGGCGTGTCCGCGCGGCGCCGAGCTACTCGCCGCTCCGAGGCGGCTGGGAGTACCGTTCTCAGGCCTGCCGACCCCACTAGCCAGGAAAACCGGCCGCCCTCTCCCCCCGCGCGCTCCGGCGCCGAGTCCCCGCCCCGCGCCCTCCGGGGTCTGGGCTCCGGTGGGAGAATGCGTTGAGGGGAGGCCGCTCCGCTCCCCGGTCTCCGCCGACGAGAGGCCATCAGGACCCGCATCCGCGCCGGGGCCCTGGCAGGAGGCCAGGCTCGCCCACCCGGACGCCGCAGCATCGACCCGACAGTGTGGAGCGAGAGAATCGCCAGCGCCGGGGAGGCCGGGCGCGGTGGCGCACGCCCGTCATCCCAGCACTTGGGGAGGCCGAGAAGGGAGGTTCTTTTGAGCCCACGAGTCCGAGACCAGCCTGGCAACATAGCGAGACCTCGTCTCTCCACAAAATCAAAGACTCAGCCGAGCGTGGGGCCGCGCGCCGGAGTCCCAGCGACTCGGGAGGCTGAGGCTGGAGGGGAGCCTGGGCCCCAAGGTGGTCGAGGCTGCGGTGAGGCGCGATCGCGCTCCTGCCCTCCAGCCTGGGCCACAGAGCGAGACCCCCTTTGATAGACCATCGTTTTTAAAGCACTTCGTCACGAAGACGAGAATACTGACTGAGCGCCCAGCACCGTGGGCTGCGCTGAAACACCCCGAAGCGCCCGCTCCGCCCAGAGAGCGGCATCCACCCTCTCGGACGCGCTTCACGCTTTTTCCTCGGAAATCGCGTTCGCGCTCGTTTCCAGACTCCGAGCTCGGCAGCGTTTTCTTCTCACGCATCCGTCAACACGGCTGCGGCCAATCCCAGCTCGGGCGCTGAGCTATTGGCTGCCGCCTCGCCAATCCGGAGAGACGCACGGCGCGCAAGGTCGCCAGGCCGGCGTCACAACATTGCTCGCCCCGCGGA